TTAAGTGAAATGGAACCCCCCTTTTAATTTTTCTGGATCCGCCAGTGGTCAGTCACTTTCATGATTGGCTTCATCATGATATTATATATCATGCTAAACAGGTCTATATACAAAAATATAAACCCAAAGTAAGGATGATATCATAATTATGAGATATATACATGATTATCTGCATTTTAAATTACATAGGTATAATTACTGTTACTGTTATCCACTGTCTCCAGTCATTAGTCTTGTTTATAGCTGCTATTGGCAGTAGTTCTGACCTGATCTACTATTTGGTTTTACTTCTCCTCATCCTCTTATCAGGAGATATTGAACGCAATCCTGGTCCTATAAGTACAGATATTCAAGAGTATATTATATCATTTAAATTTACTATAGGAAAAATGCTTAGAATTTTAAAATGGACTTGTAATACAATAATCAAGTTTTTTCAAAGTGTTTGGATACAAATCAAGAGCATATTTCTTCCAAAACAATATAACAGTGTTCCTCTTCAAACAAGAAGTACACATCAACCTGAAGACACTGTCATCAATATTTATACTCCACATCTGTTTTATGACACAAGTATGATTGTAATTAGAATATATTTATAATTTAATTAAGTAATAATGATAAATATTTACAAATACATCAATGTAAGATATGGGGATTATTAATACAAGTATTAATTATTATTACCATTGCTAATCAGGCTGACAAAAATATCACTTTTGAGTTAAATTCAAAGGTGATGTATTTATTGTAAGATTCTAAATCATAATTTATTCATTATCTCCTGTATAAACTGTGTGTATATGGTATATACCGTATCTGTTGTATGATCTAATGCAAATTTAAATGGGTAAACGATGAGAGCTATGAATCTTTATTATGTTAATGCATGGCATAGTTAGGGCACTCCAGCAAACATTAAGACAATAAACCTGTTACTATAAATCAGATACTCTGATATTGTAAATCATAATTTATTATTATGAATAGAATCTATGGAAAGAACTGATTTAACATTAAAAGAAAAGAAGAGATCCACTCATAATGACAATTATATTGGTAAAGATACATTAAACCATCAATAATATAACACTCATCATTTTCATACTGTAGGTAATCCAAATGATATATTACGAACTCATTCATATCAATTAGCTCATGCTATTAGTGTGAATCTATATGATGTAGCTGATGCACTGTATGCTAAAGAGCTGATACCGCCACAAACAAAAGAGGACATGCTTGTAGTAGGATTAGCTGAAAATAAAAAAGCGATAAACCTTGTCCATGTGCTAGAGGTACAGTTGAAAGCCAGACTTCATAATCCAGAGCAGTATCTTATTGATATATGTAATGTATTAATAAACCAACATCATCATACACTAAAAGATATTGCTACCTCTATATTATATCAGTTAGGTGAGTGTGTGTGTGTGTGTACATTATCAGTGATCAATATAGTCATTATTATCTCAATACATTAGGTCAGCCTATACCTGATGACGTCAGTTCACATACTGTGCCATCACCAGTTGATGATATATCCAATGTACCAGTTACTAATATAAAAGGTAAAAGTTATTTAATGTGTATACATTGCTTTTGTGTATCTTGATCAATAGGTCAGTCTGATGTAGCTAAACCCATTAGTTCAATGCCTGATGATATTCAAGGATATGCTGACAATATGAGACAACACTACAAACACCAATTACCTATTGTTGCTACACACTGGCTACCAGAAATTGGAAAAGATTTTTTTGGAAGACTAGCACTAGTAGAAAAACAAGACTCTAGCACACAAGCAGAATCAGCTTGGCATTTGCTAAGAGGCCAAGTTGATAAAACAGTTAAACTAACTCAAAACAAAGAGATAAGTATTGAACATGTCCTCCAACCCACAAATAGTTCTCTGTCTCTCAGAGTAGTAATAGATGGTCCTCCTGGTATTGGCAAGACCACACTCTGTCGTAAGCTATTAAATATGTGGTCTAATGGAACACTTGTACACCAACAGTATGACTTGGTACTTTACTGTCCTTTAAGGAATAGCAAAATAGCTACAGCTACTACACTAGCTGACCTGTTTGTGCGTCAACTTAATAGATATAAAAATGTACCTGAATGGTTTGAGGAGAGGGATGGAGAAGGATTACTGATAATCTTTGATGGTTGGGATGAACTAAGCGAACAACGAAGACAGTCTTCATTAGCTGCTAGTATCATTTGTAAAGATGAGTTAGACCAATGTTCGGTAATTGTTACTTCTCGTAGCTATGCCTCCTCTTCACTTTTGAAAATGGATACTCTCAGTAGACATGTCCAAGTCATTGGGCTTTCTAAGGAAGAAATATCAACAGTAATTATACAAACACTTCAAAAAGATACAAAACTAGCACAAGAGCTCATTAATAGAAATAGATATAATTTCCATAAACCTTTCACAACTACTCAAAGCAGTAAGGGCTCACAACTAGCAGTGAAACTTATCAATGATCTCAAAGTACGAAATGATGTCCAATCATTGTGTTATGTACCACTAGTCTGTTCCATGGTCATCTTAGTTTATTGTAAGGAAGGAGGACACTTACCAACAACACTCACTCAACTGTATGAGAACTTTATCTTACAGATTATCAGAAGACATGTTGAAAGACATCACATTAACCCTCATACTTTAGGTAGTCTTTCTTCATTACCATCACAGTTAGCTAAACCTTTAGAAGAGATGTGTCAATTAGCTTATGTTAACCTGGCTAATACAAGAATGACATTCTTTTCACATCAACTAGAGTCACTGAGTGAGGCAGTCAAGGAAGAAGACTATCTTGGATTGATGACAACATTCCCAGACTATGATGAGAAGAAGTATCAGTTTCTTCACTTGAGTATACAAGAATTTCTAGCTGCATGGTGGATAGCTAAGCATAAGGAGAAGACAGAGGCAGTGTTTAAGGATCACTTTGATGATGATCACTTTCGAATGTGTCTGAGGTTTGTTGCAGGTCTAACTCACCTTGAACATGAGAGCTATCAACAGTATTTCAATAAACAACAACTTGACTTACAGTGTAAGAGAAAGTTGTTACTGTTTGGATTTGAGAATTGCCATTTCTCCTACTTTTATCAGAATCCTGAGATTCGATTGATTGCCTCTCCATTATCTATAAACAATGATCATATCAGATCTGATGATGATTTTAAGAATGTTCCTATTCTTCTTCTTCAACTCCTGTATGAATCACAGAACACAACATTATGTCAAGTGTTAACACAATCCATCAGCAACCACTCACTGTGTCTGGATAAAGTATCATTATCATTGTTTGACTGGTTGTGTCTCAGTTACTGTATAAACAATTCCAATGCAACATGGAATCACTTGCACCTGGGGACTGTAACTAACCAGTCACTATCGGTCTTCACTGCTGAACTAACCAATAACTCACTACAGACCCAATGTAAGAGACTGGAGGTAAGGTTGCATGAATCCACTGATAAACTAATACACAAATTATTGCAATCATCACTTCTATACAATATTCAGGAGTGCTACTTTGGATTATCATATGGTCAATATGTAACCTGTCTTGTACTGTTAGAGTTCCTTAATCTTCCCCAATTGAAGATACTGCACTTAAGAATGGAATATCCTACTATACCAACAGTTGAATATACATACTACACAGAAAAGTGCACTGAACTTGAGAAATGTATAGAAATGAATTCTACACTACAAGAAATGAAGATTGAGTATGAAAGAGTGAATGAAATAACAAGTACCATTATCAGTGTCATTAGAGGAGTAGCAAGAAATGAAACAATAACATCATTAACAATACACGTTGGCATATGTGACATTGCTCCCCCTCCTCCTGTACTTGTTGGAGTAATGGAGCAGTTACTAAAGGACAATAACACATTACAAGCTCTTTCACTGGACATAACAGATAAACTCCTACCATCATCATTGAATATATTAGAGGTGAACACACCGCTAACTGCTCTGGAGATAGGAAGGAATAAACTGATGACATCATCACTTCTTCCACATATCAAAGGATTACATTGTCTGATACTAGATGAACCATACTCACCACATCTTCTATTTCTCTCTCAACCCAGTCTGCATACACTTAATTTACCACTGGACACAGCTGAGAGTGCTATTGAACTATTTACTATTCTACAAACCAACACTACACTTAAAGCTCTGAATGTGAAGATAAAGGAGGAGAGAGTATATACCAGCAGTATCGGTACTAATTTACAAGACATGCTAACACAAAACCAAACGCTAAAATACCTTGAGATTTGTCATAGTTACATTCCCAGTTCATTCCTGTCCTTCCTAACAACTGGTCTCAGACACAACACCAGTCTACAGCAGTTGAGTGTATCCATTCCACTTCCACTAAATGAAGAGATAAGAGCTTTTATTAATGTCATCTCTCAAAAGAACAATCTCACAGAACTTGAAGTGAACTTCATACCAGATCAGTCATACAGTAACTGTAGCAGGGAAGAGATGGAACAAATAATGACACCATTGTTTTGTGAACAGGTACTACCTGCTGTTACTAAAATGCTACAATCACATTCAACTATCAAACTACTGAGGATTAGTCTGAGAATAATCTATGGATATATTAAAGAGACTGCTCAACCTAACTGGATAGAAATAGTACAGCATTTATATGAAACTATCTTTAACCATCTATCGCTTGAATATATCCAGATTAGTGCTGGAAACACTCCTCGTCTTCTGAAGGATACTCTTCAAGATCAAAAGAAGACATTGATTGATAAACACAGAAAAGAACAACCACACAAACCAATATTATTAAAATGTATTGACATAATTAATGAGTAATAAGTTTGAGTAGAGACTGTAGATCTAGTTGAATATTTTATTTCTATTATTTTAATAAATAAAAAGAAAGAAAAAAGAAAATATTAATGATTTCATCCATTGTTAATATTATTTGTTGTTTCACTTGTTTGTGATGTAGTATTGATTTTGATGGCAAAAGATTAGGAACACTTGAACTAATGCTTCCATAAACAAAGACTAGTTACAGTAAATCCTTAAATAAAGCCCCTGGCCTCTAGTGCATAATTACAAGCATAATTACAATCCAAAGAATACTGAAGTTACAATTTTTTTAATTGTTAAGTGTAATTAAATTGATTAAAATTTATTATAAAAATAGCCAGGAAGAAAATAATTGGAATCAATGTCTATATCCTCACAATAACCTTGATCTATAATGCCAAAATAGCCAACCAGGTGCTTAACACAGTTCAAATGAGTACAAACATGAATCAAAATTGTGGCCATCATGAAAGCTCAGGATACCTGCCAAATACAGGTATAAAGTAAGTTAAAAACCATTGCATTAACTATAATTTACATATATAAGAAGAATTACAAGCTAAACTCATGGATGCAACAGTGATAAACACACACAAACACATAGCTAGGCTACTAGCTGGGACCTTTTATTTCTTAGAAAAACGTTCTGCTTCCTCCTAGAGCAATGAAACTTCTGCAGAATAACAGGCATCTATAATAAGCTACCTTGTAACTGTGATTGCATTAGCTCTATTTCACAAGTTATAGAATTTAATATGATTTTTGTGTCAGCCATTTTTAATCCTTACAGTGGAAACAAGCGCCTGAAACAAGAACAGTTCTTGATTAATGATTATAAATGTAGAAGATCAGTTATCTACATCTTTATCCAATGCTAAAGGTGCATAGAACAGCAAAGCAACTGTAGACTCCTTAGTTTTGATATAAATCATCAAAATAGGCAAGAGACACTACCAGAGCACAAAGCGTCTAGAGACAGGAATGGATCCAATTAGTTATGTGGGTGGTTTTATATCTGTAATACGCA